TCGAAGTTCATTGAAGGGTCCCACAGAAACTTCGGGTTTTGAAGTCTGTTTGTGTGGAAGAATGGGCCAAAATCACAACTGAGTAACCCTTGTGACTAGTTTCTTCATAGAGGAAAATCTTGAAGCTGTCATCACCAACAAAGGCATTTTGTAAGATGTATTAAATACATTTCAGTAAGCTTTTTCAGTACTTTTCCCTGTGTTATTTCTCATTATTACACATAACTTAATTTATGGACATCTATGGGTTGATTTCTTGTAAAGTATGAATTGGATGGGTTGTCATCAACATCTGGTGAAAATTCCATGTCAATAGCACCTTTAGAAATATATTTACTTAGAAAAACTGGTGACGTGTTCAATACTTATTTTACCCGTTGTATATCCCACTGGGGAGAGGCCCATAGGCAAACCCAGGAGAGAGATTATATCTCTCACTTGCAGTTTGTCCCATGGATGGATGGATGGATGCAACCAGGAGGCATTTAAGTCAGAAACAACCCGTAGTTATCCAGTCCAAACCACCTCAACTGGCCCCTTTCAATGTGGAATAGTAGTGGCTCTACTCTGAGATGCTGGTGAATGACTGAACTTCTCACCCCATCTGTAAGTGAGATCCCAGCCACCCTTTGGAAGAAATTTCTGCTGCTTTCATCTGCAATGGGATTCTTTTGGTCACTGCCTAGAGCTGAAGACCGAAGTTGAGAGTGAGGACATAAATCGACCAGTAAATGGACAGCTTCGCTTTCACGCTTAGCTCACTTTACCACAATGGACTGGTACATTACTGCAGAAGTAGCACCAATCTGTCTGTCAATCTCCCGCTCCCCTTTCCTCTCACTTGTGAACAATACATAGAGATATCTGAACTCCCCCACTTGGGGCAACAACCCATCCCTGAAACTGAGTAGGCACTACACCCTTTTACAGCTAATCTCATTTCCATTACTTCACATGTAGCTGCAAACATCCCAAGAGTGAGCTGGAGGTCTCCAACTGATAAAGCAAACAAAACCACATCATCTGCAAAAAGCAGAGAAGAGCTCCTGCTGCCACCAAAGTTCTCATGATAAGTTATGAACAGAATCAGTGACAAAGGCAGGCTTGGTGTAGTCCTGGAATGGACCTGACCTGGCTCTGACTGCCAGCAATATGGACCAAGCTCTCAATGTGGCTGAACAGGGACTGACTGGCCCATAGCAACAGTAAAGTACCCCATACACCAGTAGCACATGTAACAGAATTCCCCATGGGATGTGGTTGATTACCTTCCCCAATTTCACCAAAAATGTGTTGAGTGGTTGGGCAAACTCCCATGAAATCTCAAATATCCTTGAGAGGTAAAAAAAAAAAGCTGGTTTAGTGTTCCACGATGAAGACAAAAACAGTTTCTCCTCATGAATTGGAGATTCGACCAGCAGGTGGACTCTCTTCTCCAGTACGCTGGCACAGACCTTAGGAGTCCCAAAAGCTAACCAAACCTGGTAGTACTCTTCCAACTTGGCGACTCTCCTCACCTCCAGTGTCCACCATTTGATTTGAGAATTACTGCCATGACAAGCACCAATTACCTTGCAATGACAGATCTGTACAGCTACTCTGGCAATGGAGGTATGGGACATGGGCCATTCAGACTCAGTGTCCCCAGCATCCCTCAGGATATGTATTGAAGTTCCTCCAAAGGTGGGAATTTAAGATTCTGCAGAACAGGGCCTCTGCTAGATATTCAAAGTGAATCCTCCCTATACATTTGGGTACTCCAGCCCTGTCTAACATCCATCCTCATCACCTGATCCAACTCACCACCATCGCCCCTTTTTATATTCATGTGTCCAAGACCTACAGCTGTTGGTCTTGGGGTATGAATTACTCTTTGTCTGGTCCCCTCTTTGAATTGCTGTCTTATCATGATGTAAAGGTTTGTGTGGCCCAGTGATCCCAGGAGCTATGTTGTTGGAGGCATTTGCTTCTCGTAGGGTCATCCAAGGCAAACTGGTCTTGGGTGAGGGACCAGGGTCCACAGGTTTAGAACTGCTCAGATTTAATATGGTTGTAAAGCTGTATAGATGGTGTACAGGAAGCTGCCAATTCTAATCAGAAGAAATAAAACTTTCAGGCAAGTGAAGAAAAAAAGAAAGCAACTTTCAAAGACAGGAAAGCAAACCATAACATCTTAATACTTTTTACTATTACTCAGTTAACCCTATCAAATCTTTGCTGTTTAAAGTGTCATTGTCTATTATACCTATACACATTTACCAGACTAAGAAAGGCTGTTCATGGTAACCCCAGCTTTGAAAGTGGCTAACCCAGTCTGCTCTGTAGGAATTGACCACATACACACTGACTCAGTCAAATGAATTAAATCATGTAATCAGGAAAATGTAACATGAACTTATTAAACTATTTTTTACTATCACATAAGGCATCAGTCTAATTACACTTCGCCCACCCACTGGAGTTTGATGATCAAAGAAATCAGATTAGTTTTGGTTTCACAGAAAACTTTGTGTCATTATAAACTGATCATAATGTAATACTCTAAACTCAGTTTAATTTAATCCAAACATTTAAACATCAAAGCCTTTGAGAGTTCCACAAATCGTATTTGGTTTTTAAGGCAGGATGTCCGTTTATCCTCAGGAGACCATGAGTCCTCATATGGGGACATTACATTTGGGCTTTTCTGCTTTGTTCTGCTCATTAAAGTTTTTTAAACTTTGGTTAAATTAAAGGGACTTTATTGTGCTGTAAAATAAACTCACTGTTCCCATGAAGACATGCTTTCTGTTCAGAGATGATGTTCAGTTTTTTCTGTTTTTTGTTTTGTATCAGGCTCAGCCAACACCAAATAGCTAGGAGAATTTAAGAAAATGCATCTTAAACAAGTGCCTTGGCCTAAAAAGAGGTTAAAAACAGTAATTTAAAAATGTTGATAGTCCTATTTGACTTTTTCATTCACTTTCTGTAAACTTTTGGGTTCTTAGCCCATATGATTCTACCAGTCTCACTCCTTTTACTGGTGTTTTATAGGCCATACAAGAAGCCTTTACATGCAACCTTGCGGAACGGAAGGTTGCGGAACTTGTGAATGCTATGCTGGACTTTTTAAACACTGTCTGTTTGAATGTCTTGATAATGGATAAAGTGTTTGTATAGCATTAAGCATTTATAGTCATGTTTTCTAATTCCTACTGTAAAAAATTAAGTTTCTGCACTGGGAACTTGAATGTTATTTTCGTCTTTAAGCATGAAGCGCTAAAATAGATAACTGTTTATATTACATATGACCTTAAATCCACAAATCCTGTAACATGGCATCTCTCTGTAATCACTGTTGCCTGTTTGTATAGTTTCTGCATTCTGGTCCTACAAGTCAAACTGTTTATTTAAGGGTTGATGTTTTACTGAAACACGTTTAACAGCAAAATAGTGATTATAATCATTTTTATGTGACTGATCACGTAGGTACCCAAATAATGCTGCTGTCTACAGACTTTTAGACAAACAAGGACATGCCTTCTTTGAGCTGTCCTGATTTTCAGGAACTTGCTTGTGCGGTAAACTTCATTTTGAATGACAGTGGCCACAAACACGTCTGGCAGAGTCAAAGGAAAGGAAAAAAACATTCTGTTGCTGAAAACCAGAAAGAGAATGACCCCCAGTAAAGGGCAGTTATAGTCAGGTTTTCATATGAATAAGCACATTTTTCTTCTGTTGCAAGCAATAACTGTGAATGATTAAACTGCTTGTGTGCCATATGATACACTTAACTGTCTGCCTCTGACCCTTCCTGTTAGCCATCACCTCCCCGCCTGCCTCCTTCTTCTAATAAATTCAAAGGGGGCTGTGAGTGGAGCTGACCCCCCTAGTGAAAGTGCCATAGAGCAACTCCAGATGTGAACATCTTCCCTCTCTTTCTCTCCTCCTCTCTGTCTCCCACACTCTCCCACTTCCACCACCAGTGCACCCGCCCTCCCCCATGCAGCTACGAGTTTTCCATTTCCTTTTTTGGTGAAAAAATCTGGAACAGAGGCAGGGAGGAGGACATTTCACCAACGCCGACAGGAGAGTGTATCTGGAGGTCTGTGTATTTGTGCTTCATCAAGGCAATGAAACAGTCGACTCAGCATAAACACTGGTGCATGTATATCCATTCAGGGACATACACACAAATTTGCGCCTGTGCTCCATTTTTCACACGCACATGCGAGCACACACACATTCACACACCTACACACACACACATACACACAAATATCTTAAAAATATCAGAAAATTAAAGGCATACACTTTTCACTTTTTTATTACCTACGCCTGGTTTGTCTCTACCATTTTCTCACACTCACACTTTCATGCTCGGCTACTCATTCCCCTGACTTTACACACACACATACACAGAGATATTTTTTTTCCTAGAAAGACATTTGCCAAAGTGGGGAGGTTTCTGGTTTACAGAGTAAACACAAGTTCACAGAAATCTTCATACATAATGACCACAATGATGCACAGAATATAAACATAGAAAATATAAAAACTGCTAAGAAACATCAAAGTCAGTGTGAATTTATTTAACAAGTCTTCAAAATAAAACTAAGCATTCAGCCATATCAATTTTCATCTGAGTTACAGGTATGTTCATAGTTTTAATCCTGATGGCCTATTCTCCATCTTAAAATGTATATTTGCCAACTCTGACTCACCAGCATCAAAGCTGAAATAATGAAATTATTAAGGTATTTTTTAATAGAATTTTCACAAGTGTATCATACAAACTTACAATGAAAAAAACAAACAATAACAGCTTCAACAGAAACAAAATAATTAGTGTGGCCAATCACGGCAGGCGGTGCGTATTCCTGCCACACACAACAGTAATGTTGATGTTTCAGCTTCTTTTAGGTTATTAATGCTGGCTCTTTGTAGAATGATTATATATCTATATATAGATATATATATATATATAGATATATATGTATAAAGAATTATTAAAACAACTAAAAAAGGAAATAAGATAAAATGTTATGTAAAAAGTGTCATTGCAAAGCTCAATATAAGCAGATACATGACAAAAAATGCTCTGTATTTCTTGTGCCTTGTCCTCATAACAGCAAGTAACAGCTACAGGGAGGCAAAGTGAATGTTTTTATGTGCACGTACATATCTTACCCAAAGTGCAAATAATTTGGAGTGAATAATAAGAACTGACTACAATAATAAACATATGTTCAGCTTTTCATGTTCTTCTCATTCGTATTTTTCCATTTACAAAGAAATGTCTAATTCTTTAAAATGTCCCACCTCTTTCTGGATCATTATATACAGTAAATTGTTAAGTTGAACAAAGAAAGACATACAATAGAGAAAGGCAACTGACACGTGAGGAAAGGAAACATTCAAAATGCATAAAACTGCAGTTATAAGAGCATTAAAACAATAACTCCATTACACTTTTAAAATATAGACTGCAAGTTTCATCTACTATACTGTATCAGTGTTTGGTGTCTTTTCTTCAGAGTATGATTTCTACCTGAAGTTACATTATTGATGGAAAAAAATGTTTTACACAGTTACAAGCAATTTGCATTTATAATAATAAGGCACTCCATGAACAAAATCTATTTGAAAAATTTTTTTTAACTTTTTTTGGGAAATTTTTGTGAGGGTTCATGCAAACAATGCAGCATCAAAACAGGATTTTGGACACCAGCTTTTAGATTAAAATCTGACATAGACGGGACATCGAGTAACTGATGTCTTATATAAAGAAATTGACCTGAGGCAGTATGTGTTAGCCTGTGTTTCCTGTCTTGGTAATTACTCAGGGTTCTTGAAAAGCCATAATAAAGAGTAAGTTGAGGGAAAGGTGGGATTTTAGGAAATGAATGCTCTATAGGCTGGTGTGGCAGTCACGGCATAAGATTCTGTCGCCATCAGGGAAAAACCCAGCACCAACAAGCGAAACAGAGCACTGCGAGCAGGTGAAACACGGCTGATGCCACTGACGATCTTCAAATGAGATGTACTTTCCTCCTCCAAAGCCTGAAGAGCAAAGAAAAACAAATTGACTGCTGAAAGTTGATACTTGAAAATAAAATATCAGTTTTTTGACACTAAATTATCCTGACATTTTTTTTGTCTATAACAGGGGTGTCAAACATAAGGCCCGGTGGACAGCATCGGCCAGGCAAAGACTCCAATCTGGCCCAGGGTTAGGAAGCCTTTCAGAAATGTTAACAACGAGTGGATACATTTTGAATTTTTTACTGTGTTCTCAAAAGTTTCATCACTAGACCAATAGTCATTTATACTACATCAGGGTCGTTAGGTAATAGATAAAAAAAATTACATGACAGAAAAGTTCATGTTTTTCACTATTATTTACTATATAAATTTATATAAATATATATTTTTTTAATATTTGAAATTGTATTTTTTCGTATATCTGAAGGAATAAATAGTAATTAGTTTCAGGTCTTCAATGCATTCAACACTTTTTTTTTTTGCCATACATTCTCTGTATCTACCCTCTGTGGCCTAAGCAGTCTTCCATACCATACTGAAATTCAATGTATGTAGTGTATAAAGGTAGCACTACAAGTATATTCACAAATCAAGATAGTGATGTATACACCGTGATGCATTCTTGCCTGTGATGGGTTTGCTGCAGGCCTCACACTTCTTGGCGTACAGGTTTCCAAAGCACTTGAGGCAGTAAGGGCTGTCATCCCGGGAGGTGAAGTGCTGACCTGCCAGCTGGGTCTTACAGCTGGTGCACACAAAACACTCCTTATGCCACGGCTCATCACGATAGGTCACTCCACCTTTGGTCAGAGTCTTAAAAAAAGATCAAGGGTCATGTGGAAATCTGTCACACTACTGCAGAGATTTAATACAACAAATTTTTAACTCAGTTTTTGAAGTGTGGCAGTTTACCAGTTTCTCAAACTTTAAAAATAATAAGTCTTTATAACAATGTGGCAGCTTTGCTGACCTTTTTACAGCGTGTGCAACGTGGAGCAAACTTGTCCTCGTAGCAGGGCACACAGTAGTGCTCATCCTTGTCAGGAATGAAGGACTTTGAGCCAATTGGCTGTGAACAGCTGTGACAGATGAAACAGCCCTCATGCCAAGTAGAACCTGCATACTCGAGTTTTCTTGTGCCTACAGTAACAGAAGAATGGAAACAAGAGACTGAAAATTAATGATGGAAAGAATGAATATAAAAGTGCTAAGTTTGCATCATTTACACGTCTTTATAGGATCGTTACGATCATTTTGGTATTTTTTGTGGTTTTATTAAAATAGGAAATAAAACAGTTGAATTGCATGAAGACATATAAATCCATTTTGTTTCACTAAGATTTATTTTTCATCACAATACCACAGCCCCCATACTTCTCTCCTACAACTGGAAACTGGTGGCAGGCCTTAAAAGAAAAGGGATAATGCCATTTCCCCCTCTGTGTCCTCAACCAATCCATCTTGTATTCCACAGCTGTTGAGTTTTTTATTATACTGGTTGGTTTACTCTACAGTGACGCAGTGGTTTGTGTTGGGCTGACATCTTGCATTACTGCTAACGTTTCCCCGCCTTAGGGTATATGTGCTGTTGTGATCTCTAATCAAAAACACTGAAATCCCCAGCAAAATCTTTCCAGATTAGAAACTGAGATTAATAACTGTGGCTCAAGAAGGATAATATTAACTGTTAGACATGCCTATTTGACAAATACAATAAAAGTGAACATGCTAAAATAGAATTCTGTTTTTCCTTCTTTTTTCTTTAGAAGAGAAAGCATTTCAAAAGAATTGCAATAAGCTTTAAAAACGTTATAAACAGACCGTAAGTTTATAACAAAGCACGAAATCTCTACACAGAAAGCCTAATTTCTAAAGAATGCTTTCAATTCAATTCAATTCAATTCAATTTTATTTATATAGCGCCAAATCACAACAAATGTCGCCTCAAGGCGCTTCATAGATACAGAG